TACTGAGTCTTGTCTGCCTAGCAGGTGGTAGAGATTAGAAACAACAACAATATATTCAGACATGCAGCATTATCCCATAAATACATCGCCATGAAGCTTGTGGCTCCTCTGACTTTGCCACAGTGCCGATCCTTGAATATACCACAGCTACCTTTCCATCCAATAGCAAATTTTGTGGCTGGCCTGGTCATAGATTGCTGGTTCAGAGCACCAACATTTTACCAGGGGCTTGCCGAGTGCATTTAGTTCTGTGAGATTGCAGACTTGGGAGATGTAATGACATGCAATGAAAGGCTCCAGCTGAGCCCTTCTATTACAACCCCCACAGAGTCCTGGACTATACAAGCTTCAACCTCTACATACATATTTGGAGATGGGATGGAGGATGGAGGAAGCATCCTTCTTTTAGAAGCCTGAGAAAGAAGAAGGTGGAAAAGAGGATTGCTTGCTTGCTTGATTGATTGATTCAGGAGATTTTGAGTTACTCTGATTTGGTATTGTTACACCAGTCAGTCTGCTGCTCTGGTTCTATTTGGGGAGAGCAATCTTTTTTTCACCAAGGCAGAGGCGGCGACAGGCAATGCATTCCTCTTTCCTTAAATTTTTGTCCATTTTTTTTTCTTTGCATGTCTGTTTCCTTCCCACTCAACATTATCTACTGCACTTAAAATCTTGGACAATTCCCTCAAGCTTCCATGGTTCCTTTCTTTCTTATTTGGACTCACTGCACCATGATGCTCTGTGTAGCTTCCAGGCAAAGTTAATGCCCTTTGCTTGCTTGCTGAACTTTTGGCACACTGAAGAGATTCATCTCTGTAAGGAATCTTAAAAGTATATAGACTTCACCTCAGACCAGGACCTACAATATGTTATGCGTTGTTGTTTTTTCTTTAGAAGAATGAGCCCAGCGATTCACTAGGCGGCCGTTCAAATGTAGGGTCATTTGTTGTGCTGTATAAGTACAGATTTAGAAAGTTGAAAAAATTGTTTAAGGTTAGAGGTCAGAGGGTGATATTGAGCTGCCTGAGCTGCTAGGAAAATGCAGAATTGCTTTCACACAAAAACTTTTGTTCAGACTAGGATAGGTGGCTTCTTTGGGTCTTAAATTTGCTTTCCATTGTGGATGCTAACTTGCATGAAAAGCCATGTTGCTTCTAGATAAAGTAAAAATAAGGAAATAGTGAAAAAAAGTTTTTGGCAGCATGAAATGAAGAGACTGTGCTGTACACCTACTGTGTCTGCACATTTCAGAGAAAAATATCTACATATCCTGCTTCGGTTTCTATCTGACATTGTACTTCCTTGCTTAAGTTAGTCCATCAATTAAATTTTATACTGGGTGGAAGGTTCAATACCTTGAGAATTTAGTTTCACTGGAACGATAGTTTTGGAAGAAATGGGCGGTGTCTGGTGATATTGTAGAAACTGGGAGCTCACTGAAATTTCCAGTTGTTAAGAAGTAGAGTTGCAACATTCTGCATAACTCTTGTTCATCTTTTCTGATTAGGACAATGCATTGCATACTAAAGGAATGTGTGCAGTTCCTTTGCATAAGAATTCAAATTATGTAAAAGAGTCAAAATCTTGGCTGCTGTGTATATTTATTTTGGATGTTGTTATGGTTTTTATAGTTTTGGAATTGTAAGCCACTCAGAGTCATTTAAGATGGGTGGCTATAGAGATTGAATTAAAAAATGAAGTGAATAAATAAATACGAAACATAAATATATCTGGATTATATCACCATTCACGTTATTAAAATGAAGTAATTCCAGCAATAAGAATCATAAAATGGTAAGAGCTGGAAGGGATCTAAAAGATCATCTAGTTCAGTCTAACCAATGGAGGAATCCATTACTGCAGCATCCATGACAAATAGATTTTGACACCTCCAGCAAAGGACAGTCCATCCCCTTTCCAGGAACTGTCTTCCATTGTTGAACAGTTCTTACTATTAAGAATTTTCTCTGGTGTCCAATCAAAATCTTGCATCCTTGTATTTTGCACCCATGGTTCCTGCTTCTGCTTTTGGTTTGTTCTTCATCCATTGTTCCATATCTTGAGATAGTCCAAACCAAGTTGGAACAAGGAGATATTTTCCTAGATTTTTTTAAAAAAAATTGTTTACTTGTTTATTCATCGATAAAATGAATGGAAGAAAAAATACTATAATCTCCAACAAACAAAACGTATGTTGAAGGCCTCAGTTTGGGGAAGTCTGGTTTAGGAATTGGTTAACAAAATTATTTTATGTGCACATCCAGAAATCTTGGCAGAAAGCGCTTTTGTCCTCACAGGAGAATTTTGACTCTATGAGAAAGCTTATATGTACTGTCTATTTAAAAGGAGAACGTATTTTAATATTTGATGATGCACTGCCTAGAGTTGTTCTCCGAGGGAAATGGGCAGTTCAAAAATGTGAAAAATAAATAAAAAATAAACAGATGTGGCAGTATACCTATGATATTTTAAATACGTGGGCATTTGTCACCATTAACTGAAGGGATAACAGATTATTGACACCATGCATTTCTGGCATGGAAGAGTTCATTCTGATCCTAATAGATATATTATGTGAGAGGTGGAGATGTAACATCTCAGATAACGTATGTCATCCTGCTGAACGGCCATCGATTGAAGCCCTATAAACTTGACACTGCATCCCAGCCGAATTAAGGCATGAGGGCATGAAAAAGCAAGAAAGACAGGCATGCGCTTCAGATGTGCTAGATCCCTCCTCTTGGACATAAGGTTTGTGTTCACAAAGGGAAAGGGGAGATAGGTTTATTCACTGAGTTGGAGATTAATTTTTGGGCTGTAGAGAACTGCTAGATTGAAAAGGCCAGAAAGGAAACTCTGGGAGAGTTTCAGATGAATCTGTGTGTGAGGTGAAGTTCTGTTGTGTCACCGCATTTAGGCCACGGCTAGAAGAACCTGTCGATAATTGCATTTGGATGCCCCTTCTGGGTTCAAAATATTCATATTTCAGATTGCAGGTTATTGTTATCTGGAGGAACTTTCTTTTACCAACTAAGTTTTCCTGGGGGAAAGGGGGTTCAAAGTAAAATAAAGAAAGGTTGTTTAAGGTGGTCTATGCCAATGGTTTTCAAAAAAAATTTCCACCCCTCCCATATCATATCTCATTCTCCCACAAATTTGTTGCAAACTCCAGATCGAACATATTTTTGAAAGGGCCCAAGGGAGGAAAGGAAATGTTTTGAAATGGGAGAAATGGCAAGGAGGAAAAAGGTTACGGGCAAATGGAGTTCGGGGGGGGGGGGGGGAACTGAGTGCTATTTCCCTCTCAGCTTTTCCTTTCAAGAATCTCTTGTGAAAGGTGCTTTTATATTCAAAGAAAGGAGGTGGGGCATTAGCACATAACATATAACAAGGTCTATGATGCTGCCCATTAAAATTTGGTATTCTGAAAGCCAGTATGCCTAATCACGGTTGCACTGCTAAGGCAGTTCCATTTTGGCGCTCTGTGTGTGTGTGTGTGTGTGTGTGTGTGTGTGCGCGCGCGTGCGCGTGTGCTCTTTGTTGTGAGAATTGTGATGAGTTGCAGCATGAGAAGGAGGGCTGTGCACGCTTCAGAAATCTTTCAGAAGTGCTTTGGGCTCTACCTGAGTATAAAACCTGCCTGCTATTAATTAAAGGCATAATGTCCTGGGGGTGGGAGGATTTTGCATGAGCTGCATAATGAGGCTGGGTTTAATTAGTGGCAAAGAAATTCTGCAGTTATACGCGGACCAAAGTTCTTCTTCCAGACCATTTTGGAATTATTCATAGCCCTGATGAGAATAGTACTTTATACAGAGTAACAACTTCCACAAGGAAGCGTTTTAATCTGTCTATTGGCTTGTAGTGCTATAATGTTAGATACCAAAATAATAAAGTATGTCTGGATAATTCAGCCTCCAACATAAGAGGGATGTTGTTTTAATGTGGGATAGTTTGGAAATTAATGAGTTTGTTTAGAGTCACAGAATTCCCGGTTTATTTGTAGAATAATAGTTTATTTTGTCAAAAGAGCCACCTGGAACTTTAAAAAAAAAGTCTTACTGATTGCCTCATTTGTCTTTCCCTGTTTAGGGAAATCACTTTGCTTGCTTCTAGTAAAATATGTCATCTATTGTTTCATTAGAGTTGTGTCCAGATTGTTCTTCAGGCCACACTGCGGAAGTGATGCATCTTCATCTTCTTTTTTGTCGTATTAAAAATGCCCCATTTTTTTCTAGATTAGTAAGATGCAGAAGATGGTGAACTTGAAAGAGGATAACATTACTATTATTAGTAGTAGTAGTAATGGACTGGATTATCAATTAAAAGGGTACAGTTTAGTCAATTTTTACAGATTTTAGTATTTGCATAAGAAATTCAGTATTGCTTGAACAGAATTAAATGCCCAAACAGACCATTATGAAAGTAAAGAATGGGAAGAAAGAGGGGGACGGGGATGGAATTACAATAGTCCTCACTTAGTGACCATTTGAAGTTCTGACCTCCCATCCAAAAGCTACTTAAAACCCAGTTCTGGAATTCCAGCAGCAGCCAGTTTCAAGTAAAAAATGACTATAGGAATCCATTGATTTGTTGTACGACTACTACATTCACTTTACAACTGCTTCAAAAAAGATAAGAAAATTGGGTTGGTCCCATAGGTGCCTCATGGCAGAAATTCCATGCTCCATTACAGTCATAAGTTGAGGACTACCTGTACTTAACTAGAATTCAGTGGTGGGAAATCCGAGATTGAAAAATACCAAGTCTTATTTCAACTCTCAATTGGTTGTTAAAGCAGCAAGCATCATAAACTCTCTCAAATAATGCAGAGGAATCGTTGACCTAGAAGACATCAAAGATATATAGCTTTAAGATGATTGCATTTTTGTTTGAAATTATCTGAGATAATGGTCTTGTTTCTTCTCCGCTTTCTCTCCCCTTCAGGAACCTTCTAAGAGCGGTACGAAGAATTAGCATGGCAGAGGTCCTGTCTAGAGATGGGCAGTGCTAAGGAGACAGAGGCTCTGCAGTTGCTGAATCAAGAAGCTGTTTCAGAAGATGCTCACAAGCCCACCAGCAGCTCGCCTTGTGGTTGTAGAAAAAACAGCTGCCTCCAAAACGTCAGCTGTGCAGGTGGAGATTTCACCATGAGGAACTGCTGTGTCAATGAACTCGGCCCCAAAGACAGCAGCCAAAAAGTCACCATGGTGGATAACCCAAACCAGAAAGAGGAGGCTCAGGCTGTAGATCCAAAACCTTCTGTAGATCTAGTTGCTGCTGCTGAGCCCCCTCTTCTAAAAGACACGGGTGTCGGAGGAACTCCCCCAGAAGCAAAAGGAGAAGCAGCAGCTTGCCACGAGTGGAAACAGAACAGTAAGCAGGAGGAGAGCATGGAGGAGATCTCAAACAGCACAGTGACCATCTGCAGCCCTCTGGGGGAAAAAGTTAGCCCGGTTGCTGGGGAAGCACATAGGCATCTCCCAACAGAGCCCTGCCTCAAAGGACCCAATAAAGACTTATCCAGTACACCAACCTCCTTGAAACATGTCGCATTTCTTGAACACACCACAGGTAAAACTGAGGAGGAACGTATCCAAATAAAAACAGTTCATTCCAAGATGGGTTCAACACTTCCTGCATGCCTGCAGAACACGAGTCGAGGACAGCCTACTGCCTCTAAAGGAGATAAATCACACATCAGCAGTGTTGTTTCTGAAGCTATGGAATATGGGGAAGAAGATTCCAGAAGTCTCTTTGGGTCAGGAGCTCTGAAGGAGTCTATTCTGGAACCCTCTAAAGCTGAAACCACCTCAGAGAAACCTGTTGCAGCCAAGAATCCCTCGAGTGATACTGAGGAAACAAGGTTCCCTGTTGCAGAAACTCACCCGCCTGGAAGCTCCTATAAAGTGCCAGATGTCCTTGTCACCAGCATTTCTTATGAAGTCAAACATCAAGGCACATCAGGCGAATTAGAATTAAACCCAGCTAAATCCATGGAAGAGAAAGCAGAGCACAGGGAACCAACAACCTCCAGCTGCAAAAGTCAGGACCAAGCTCTTGAAAAAAAAGTGGAAATGATTAACATAGCTACAAGCGAGGACCATTCAACCAATGAGGAGATGACATCTGTAGGACCTCTTGCCCAGACCTGCATATTGGAAGTCACACCTCCCCAGCACGATGCTGGAACTCAGGTTGATAACCGGGTATCTTTAGTGTCTGTAGCCATCAGCCCTATTAATCCACCTGATGGCTCTTCAGCTTTCCCATTTCATACGAGAGGTTTAGGGGGTTCTTCTCTGAAGAGTCCTGGTCCAGAGGTGAAACCCACAAAAAGGGATGTGCAGATGCAAGTGTCCATCCCAGTGGAAACCAGATCAGTGGCCACGGGACCTATGACTCCGGTAACCAAATCCCCTCAATCGTCCTATCCCGAAGTGTACATTAAAGGTGCAGAGGAAGAGACATCAGAGCCAATACGGGAGGTCAGCTGGGATGAAAAGGGCATGACGTGGGAAGTATACGGAGCCTCCATGGAGGTAGAAGTGCTGGGAATGGCCATACAGAAGCATCTGGAGAAGCAAATTGAAGAACATGGTCGGCAGATGGTGATGACTCCCCAAAGTACCCGCTCCAGTTCTGTCAAGGTTGCCACGCGTAAGGGTGAGGTCAAGAGGCAGCCCAGTGTGTTCAGGGCGCTCCTACAGAATGTACGACGGCCGCGCTGCTGCTCTCGTGGAGGCCCAGCTGTGGAGTGAAAAGTGTTCTTGTCATTTCCTTGGGTTTTTATTGTAGCTGGAAAATGCAAATATTACGTAGTTTCTCAGGCAAGGGGGGAGGGAAGGATCCCTTTTTAATATTTTGAAACTGTGATGTTATGGCACCTCTATCTACTGCTCTTCAAGTGGCATAGTTTAAAAATGTTGGCCAAGTACTGAATTATAAGCTTGATCAATTTGGCTGGGGAGCTTTGAGCCCCACCCAGCAACAGGTGTTTTCATACACACCTGAAGAACTTACACATTCCTGAGAGCAGTACACATTGCCAGAGTGCAATTTTCATGCTGGATGTGTAATCTTCACAATGACAAAATTCAAAGCTCTCAACAACCTATTTACTATAGGATGGAGATAATCCTTGGGATTTTGCTGCCCAGCTGATACAGCCTGATAGCCCACGTTCGTCATTTTAAAATAATCACACAGGAGATCACACTGAGATCTCTGAAACAAAGTCATCCAAGATACAAGGGAATGGAGTTGGCCATCTTTAAGTGTTTGGGATCCACAGACAGAAGATGCTATCCATTTCAATGAAGCATGTTTTAAAACGACCACTGGGGTTTTCGCCACTCCAGGATTTTTTTTGGTCCTGTTGCTGAACCACTGAAAGACCAGTGACAGTGACAACTGGTTCACCCAGATAAGTATAGATCCATGTGCATGTAGGTTGCTCCAGTTGGAGATCTCCTAGTGCTATTGTCAGAAATTCTTATTTCCTTCCTTAGCAGGTGGTTGTTGGTGGTAGTGGTGGTACTAAGAAAAAGGCAGTAGTAATTAATAAAATAGTAGGCATAGTTGTCTGGATTCTTCCTCCTGTAACCTGGGGGATGCCATTATTTGATTCCATAACAGTCCGTGAATGCAGCAAAGTAGGAACCACAACTAAACACTGTCAATTACAAATAAATCCACTTAACACACACATTGGATCTTTTAGCATACCAGAAACGTGCTTTTCACAGCTGTTAATGGTTAAGCTTTCTGGCTCTCCCTAGAAGTAACTCAGATGGGAAAGTGTTTTTCTAAAGAGAATGGAGCATGATGGAATGCTTACCATAAGTGTGTAATATTTTGCATTTACTTTGATCCAAAGAAACCGAATCTGGGACCACATAAATGCAAATCTCAAATTCTAAGTATTGCCACTTGGAAGGAACCTTATATTTCCTAAAGCGCATGTTGAATGGGCCAACATCATATTTTCAGTGCAAACATACTTCATCTAATTCCTAAATCACTGGGGCTACCCTTTCCTTAATAACAAAGTAAACTCCTTTCTGATTTCAAATATATTTATCCACTTAGAATTGAATTAATTCCCCACCTTTCTGTTTACCATATTCAAGCATTTGAGGTGTCTTGCAGTTTAAAACTGCAGAATATTAAACATAATAAAACCCACACAATTAAACTCAAAATCATTTTTACTTAAATCAATTAATTGTTGAAAAACTGAAAAACTGACAATGTTCTTTTTCCATTTATGGCTTTCTCTGGGAGTCTTATAGTAGAAGGCCCACCCACCCATCTGCCTGAGAAAGGCGCTTTTCCTGCTAATGTAACTAACTGAGCGAGTTCAAAGCCGGAGAGGCAGTTCTTGATAGTTAGACATGGAAACCAGAGAAAAGGATTGAGTAGCTCCTTTGCCACTTAAAAATATTTTTTTAAAAAAATGTTTGGCTTCATAGAGGATCAAGACTTAGTTCTTAGTGAATCAGTCCTCTGTCAAGGCTTGGTCCCAGTTTCTTTGCCATGAGTGATTTTCTTTTGTAAGTGTGCGCATATTTCTCAAATGTGATTCCTCTCAACAGTAAAGCTGTCCCAATCCTTTGGAAATCTGTTTTGCTTCCTTACCCTCCAATGAGGGGGAGAGCATGATAAGGAGAGGGCTGCGTAGGAGACAGAGGCTGCCTTTAGGCTAAGCAGAACAAGCTTATTTAGTGTTGTAAGCACCACGCATGTTGAGTATTTTCTCATGTGCCATTTTTAAAAAAATGATCGATGGGATAAGGACCAGCAGCCTTACTTCCTAGATTACTCACTGTTGTGCTGTTTCACCCCATAGATCCAAAACGGGACCTTTGTTTTGCTACAACAATCTTGCACAGCTATGCTTGTAAAGTCTTACCTCTTTGGTAGAGCTTGGAAAGATCCAGTTCTTGAAGTCTTTGGAGATAACGTTGAGGAAGTTAGCTTTAGAGCTGTACAGCTGATGGGGCAGTTTTCACAATATAATGCAGAATGTCAACTCTGAAGCTCTATTTTCTTCACAATCCCCCATTCTTTAGGAACTGAGGCCAAGCCAAAAAGTGTATGTATGTGAGCCTCTAATAATTCGGAGCAAAAACATTTATACCCTGAATATTTACCCACTCTGCTCTTCAGTTTGTGGTTTGTCAAAGGTCTCCCATCTTCAGCTTTCCTTGATCACATGTTATCTAGCTTATTAAATGACCATTCCCATCAGTTTAGCCACACTGATAGCAGGTGATAGGACGTGCGAACCAATACATCTAGAAGCCCTTTCCAACAATGGTTTAGGCAAGCAAAACCCTGTAATACTGTAGAAGAAGCAATGGCTGCTGCACTCCTCGTTTATTTTGTCCATTCCACACAGACAAGTTCCCCTCCTGTCATGGTATTTTTCTTGCCAATAACTTTCCCCCACATCATCTCATATATCCAGGAAGTAAGCCAATGGAACAATTTCAAGCTAATCACCCAATTCATGAAGTATGATTCACATCTAGAGATATGCATCACTTTTGGATCTGAAAAAAATGGTGATGCGTAGTTGGCAGGGTACAGATGCCACACCTGTGGGTTTGCCACACCTGTGGGCACACATGCCACTTTTCTGGGTTTGCATGGTGGCCATACAATACTAGGAAAATATGGCTGACTTGAGGTATTTAGGCCGGCTCTAAAGCACCTTCCTGCATATTATTGATGACTCCTTAAAATATTTTCCTTGGTTACCATACAATACAAGCCCAGACCAAAGATGCAATTGCTTTAAGGAGGGACTTTAAAGAAGTATGGTGTGCATGCCCATATCTACTCTGAAGCCACTTTTTAATTTATTTTGACAGCACCAAAACTGTACACATAGTTTCTTTTTGTGTACAGACATTACCTTAGTATGAGTATGGGTTTACATTTGTTTTGTTTTGCACAGAAGGTGGGCAATTTAGAGCAGGCGTGTCCAACTGGTGCCCCGCAGGCTGCTACTAATGTGGCCCCAAAAACTAAAGGAAGTTTGTTATTTATATACTATATTACATATTTTATATGCGTCCCAAGACAATTCTCTTCACTCAATACAGTCCAGGCAAGCTAAAAGGTTGGACATGCCTGATATAGGGTGATAGTTCAAAAGAAACTGAGCTATTCCTAAGGCAAAAGAAAAATGTAGATAAAATATTTCATCGCCCTTGGTCTGCATAGTATTAATAGCCTTCTCAGGCCTAATGTCTGTGCCTCTTGCAAGTCAAAACTTCATAGCCTAGATATTAAACTGATGGTGGGTTCTCTGTGTGGGCTTGGATCCCTTGCAGCATGACTGGCTAGCAAGCATCGCTGAGGCCCATGGATGTTGTTTTAGACCCCCACGCCAGGGTCCTGAGAGCACCAACCAATCCATTTGCCTGAGAAACTAATCCTTGGGAAGAACTCATGTCTTGTGTGCAAATAGGCAGCTTGATGTGCATCTTGTGTGCACTTGAATGCATGTACATATGTATCTTCGCCTCTTTGCATTCTCCACTGTTTTCTCTATAGAACAAAGAGGTCCATTTGCCACCTGAAAATTGGCAAGTGTCATATTCCAGATTTTTTTTCCCAAAGGGTTTGTGTGGGCTGAAATATTTTATTCATATGTGTCAGGATATGGGGGCTTTAAAAATGTTGTTTACTCTGGACCAAATTCTTGCTTTTTCTTGATGTTGCTGTTCCTCTTTTTTATCTCCTTCATTTTTCTTCTGTTACTAATATTTGTACTGGGAATTTGGGATTTTGTACTTTTCCCGTAAATAGTCTAATCTGAGCAGAGCTGTGTCTGACAGGAATAACTGATAAATTGAAACGAGGATGGTAATGTGGGGAAGACCCAGTTTTTTTCTTTTTGATGGTAGTTTTCCAGATAGCTACATCAACTACAGTTTCAAAGGAGCTTCCAGTGGAAAATATAGTGCCAAAAATCTATTTTTAATTGAGTAGAAGAATGCTATCCTAACTTTTGTCAGAAAATAACATTTTCATTTTCACTTACTATTGTGATTTTTTGTCCCCTGTCTGGGCTGTGCTACTTAGCTGTTGTTAAAAGGAAAAAAATGAACAGATCAAGTTTGCTCATCATGACAAGTAAGCAAAGTTCTGCTGAATTTTCTTCTTCAGGAAGCCCTGCCATGAGAAAAGGGGAACATTGACCATTATCCTCTGAATGCAGATGAACTCCCCAAAGGAAAGACTTTCTGTATCTCTTTACACACAGTTGATTGACAACATGCAGCACTCATTCATTTATTCAAGACTGTGAATGGATTGGCTCCCCCTTCCTTCCTTCCTTCCTTCCTTCCTTCCTTCCTTCCTTCCTTCCTTTCCTACTTACTTAAAAATATCCGTTTGTTTTGCAGTGTTACATGGTTAAGGAGTCCTACTTTAACTCCTGGCTGGAGTGTAAAAATCTATTCACCGAACCCTCAAAACCCAGGCTGCATTGTGTTCCCATGATGCAAGGGTGTCCTTTTGATGACTGAGAAACGCTTTCTGAATGTTGCCTTTTGTCCAAACAATGAAGATTAACTCATTTCAGAATTGGGGGGTGGTGGTGGTATTATTCATCTCTAAGTAGCTTTTAAAACCTTTGTAAACAATGCAAGCATATGAAAGGTTTGGCTGTCTGCTATTCTGCACAAGAGAGAGAAGAAATCTATGTCAGGTTTCTCCAACCCAGTGTTCTCCAGACATGCCGGACTAAACTGCCTATCATCTCCAGCTAGCGTTGCTCTTGGAGGGCGTCTGGCTGACGGAAAAGTCTAGGCTCGTAACGGCTTTTAGCAGGCATTTGCTGAAGTACAAATGTTAGCACTAGGTTTGATACACAGGGAAAAGTTGAATTACTGCACTGACTTAGCAACAACACTGCCTGCATAAAGCTACACCTAAAGTGTATCGGGTTGGCAAGCTCTCCTCCACACATTAAGCAGGCCCTTCGGAAGACCTGCTGGAGGATGGACTTAACCCTTCCGCCAGCTGCATTCCTAGGTTCCCAGAGTGCTCAGTGTTCACAAGTAGCCTTCCAGATGCAGAGCCAGGTTGTTTTGAGATTTCACTTGCCTTGCAGGCCAGAGGGCATAGCACGGAGAGCACAGGGTCATTGCTACCAGCACATTCAGCTGAGACTCAGGCATGCAAGAGAAGACTTGGGGAGAGGCATCCAGCCTGGACATACAAGCATTTGTGGTGAAATCTACAAACCCTGCCGCACTATGCCTAGAATGGGAAGTGCTGCTGAGGCTCTGGACAATGGACTTTCCCCCCTGCTCTCTCCTCACAATAGAGGGGGAACCTACAGGACCCCTGAAGAACCTTCCCACATCCTGCTTTGTGTGCTGTTCTCAGTATGGTGTTTACGTGCCATATGGATTTATAGTACCAAGCAATGCTGAATTGTTAATGAGTAATTTTGCCTTCTGATTTCTCCCCTCCTCTTTCTTTATATCTTTAGGGTACTACTTGTAAACCTAACTGTTGGATAATAAAATTTTCTCCAAAATACCCAAACAAACCCAACACACCAACAGTTTCTGCTCAAAACGCTTTCTTTGTGTTTGTCAAGGGGGTTGGGAGGAAAGGGGTGGTTTCCCTTTACTGGGCTGACATTCTGAATCGTCTCCCTGCTGGGAATGGTGGAGGTTGGGTTGAAAGGCTCTCAAAGGGGATCCCTTGGAAGGTTCTAGAAAGAGCTGGAGAACAATCATTTTTGCAACTTTCAAAAAGAAGTTCTTAAAATTACAAGTTTATTAATCTGTTCAAGTCATAAATTGCAAATGTCACACTTGTACTGTAGGACAGACCATGTTGACCAGCATTTCAAATTCATACAGACACCAAAAATGGATTGTTTCCATTTTCCTTGTACCTACAAGCTACACGGATAACCAGGGTAAAAAAAAAATTCCCAGAAGCATTTTCCTTTCTCCTTGTAGTCAAATTAAAATACTAAACTAAGAAATATTTGTTTTCTTATGATACCCAAAGAGGAATTGTCTTATTCTATCTGGCATCATGCCTGCTGACCCACACATTGTTAGAGAGTCAAAAAGTGAAAGCATACATAAACAGTGGTGCATGTTAGAAAATAGGGTGTGTTTGCTGCCATAGTTCTAGCTCATTTCCAAGCATCTTAATAAAGGTTTAGAGGTTTAGCATGAGAATAAAAAAAATTGATATTATCACTACTTTGTGCAGAATCTTTAAGAATGGGGGTTGGGGGAGGAAACAATTGTGCTCTATTCTTTTTAAAGATAACTGAGTTTTCCATGAAAACTACCGTCTGGCCACCTTTGCTATGTAATAAAGTAGCAAGAGATCTCCAATGGTGAGATGGAATGACAAGAGCCTGGATAGTGAAGGTGTCTGCCCAGAGAATAATAGTGCCCATAAGTTAGTTGTGACTTCTACTGACTACATGGACAAACTCATGCTTCATTGGCCCAAAGTCATTCTGTCATACCCCATTAAAGCAGTATCAGAACTTTTAGCAACCAGTAACTAACTTCAATATTTTCAATCTTATTGTTACCACTATCTTCATACTAAACTTTTATTCTCTGTCTTGTCTCCATTGAAGCATTTTGTTTTACTGAGTACCCTAAAAATTTTGTGTAGTAGCCACATGTATGGATTCCTAAGCCCACAGGATGTTGGACCTAATGGCCCAAGAAGCTTCTTTCAGTTCTCCGATTCCATGATCTTGTTCAGTCTGATCTTTGCTTCTGGTTTAGAGCAGATATGGTACAGTTTAAAGTGCAGACCTTGAGTTAATTCGGGTCACAGAGAAGGGAATATCCCAATGTTTAATAGTTTATTTTATTAGTATTTCAGTATCTTCAAGTCACAGCTGCTATACATTTGGGACATTGCTTTGCCAGAAGGAAATGGGCAGAGTCATAGTTCTGTAGTATTCAAGGAAGAGTTTCCAAAATCTAGAGATGGCTGCTTGGAGTTCCCCGGCTGCAGCGGCTTGTACTTCCTATGATTGTCTAAAGCAGCTTTCAAGGGCTCTTCCCGGTTGTTTATTTCCTGCTGAGCATCTGCTTTGTCCAGCTGTAAAATCGTATTTAAGAATTATTGTTTCTGTGGGTTACAAATGATGGATAACAATAGTTTTGGATCGCCACACAATAGAGACGCCATATCCTAGGCTTTATTAGTCTGGATATTTTTTTAAAAAAAAATAGTCACATCCTGCACAGTTTTCTTCTACCCACCAGCTCACATCCTTACATATAGGAGTTGAAAGATACTTCTAACAGCAGATCTATAGCAGAAAAGTAGGGTATACAATTGTTGAAGCTGCTTCTGTTGAATCACAAAACTCTTCCCTCATGGCACTCTCCAAGTAGACTGAGAGGGCCTCTCCCAGAATCCCTAGCTTTTGTCCACACTAGTGACAAATGCTGGAATTTGTATTCTCAGCCCACCTGTAGGGTCCCAAGTTGGGGAAGGTTGTTAAGTATGTGAAAAGCATTTTCTTTGAGCCGGGGTTGATCCAGAACACTATGCTTCTGGAGCACAGCACAGATGAATGTGGGTCTTTCCACTCTGTTTTCAAATACATACTTGGCCATCTGGCACCCTTGTAAACAGCCAAGCACAATGTAGACTATGGCTGCGATTGTGTGAACACATGGCAGGCTTATTTCTCATGCCATTCCTTGTACAGACTGGAAAGGCCTAACAACAGAAGTGATACAAAACTGAGCAGCACAAGCCCAAATTCTTCATGAAAATCAGATTATCAGTGAGGGGTGAACCAGAGAGATGGGTGTATGGATATATAGCTGCATCCTTACCAATAATATCATCTTCATGAAGAAATTGAGATAAGCCACAAACTTTGTTCCAGTAGTGCTGGCTTTGTAAGTTACAGAAATCCAAAAGTAAACTATTGTTTATGATACGTTATGAACCAAACCACTAAAGTTTGCTCAGTGATCTGTAACTTAACCACAAAGTGTGAATCCATCTTATTTATCAGCCCTTAAGGTTTTAGTTAAGGAGACAGAGGTTCTGCCCGAAACAGAAAAAGCCTTCACAAATAAAGGACAGGACAGCAGATAATTTCCATCTGTCATTCTATGTGTTAATCACAAATCAAGCAGAAGGTGACAGCAGGGCTTGACTTACCACCCAGAAATGTAAAGATAATGCAACTCGGTTTTAATACTTTCTATATAGGAAAATATTACTTTTAAAAATCCCTTCTAAATATAAGAGGTTAACTTATTCTTATTAAAGCAAGTAATATATTTACTTGGAACTAAGGATACCCTACCCAAAAATACTCATCATGCAAAAAATGTGCAATAAAATTGTGACAGGTGTCTTACTTTCAGTTTAGCAGGAAATGAGCTGTGTGGAACATCATCAACCATGTTTTCATCCAGAGAGTTCAGGCTGTAATACAAAAAGCAGCTTGATTGGCCTAGGAACTCTTTATCATCTTTAGCTGCAAATCTCCATAACCCCATTATCGCCTTCCATTAGTTCTGGAAACCCCTATGGCTTCTAATTTTTAGCACATGTGGGAAATTTGACACCTCAATGACAAAAGTAATGGGGAGTTTCAAAGATATTTTAGGAACTGTATGAGATAAAGCTTTGAGTAAAGCAGTCACATCAGCATAATTACAGTCTATTTGCATAGATGATTAATTAAAGATTAAATTCATCGTATTACCTGGCTACTTCAGAACTGGCATTTTCCTCAAAGCCAGAAGGATCCAAGGAGAAACCAAGCACAGGATTAGCCCTGCAAAAGAACGTTTTACACATGAAAACACACACACAATATATTCTTATACCCAGTAGAGAATGCCATAACACAGCATTTGGTATCTTGCAAAGATGCCCTACAGCTACACTTGTGTATGCCACTAATCAGGTGAAACTGCCAAGGTAGCATACAAAAGATACTAAAACTTTAATTTTCCACAATGTTCCAAACAAGCAACTGCTATCCTAATTGTGCCCTCCTAAAACAGGTTTGAAGCGTCAGATTTCATATTTCCCAAAGACGGATAGATGGTCTTACATTTTTCTTGGGCACTTCTATAGTGTTTCAATAGTAATTCAATAATTTCCAAGGTCTGTTATCCAAGTTTTAATTACGTCCAGCTTTTTGTTCATTTGAAGATGCTGTATAGCTTCAGCATATTCAAATTCAGCATAGGATCTGCCCAACAGAGTTTTCTAATTGAAAATTAGCAATGTGAAGGATTAGATGGTTTTCGGAGGTGGGAACTTAAAACTTATTGCGTTTCACCCATCATAGCTCGCTCTCCCTCCCTCCCACCCTCCCTCTCCATCTAATTCATATGGCCACCTATATCAATGACTTACTCTGTGTAGCAAACAAAAATGAAATAGAATAAAACTAATAACAAGCCCTACAAAAATTAAAAATGCAGGCAACCAAGAAACCACAACCCAATCTAACGCAACCAAGAAGTGCATCCCTCCACAATTTCAGGGCTTCTGTCACAAGCTGTACCTGCTTCTCTCTAATGTAGCAAACCATTCCCTATGACCACATACCCTTCTGTATTATATTTATTGGTCCCAGGGATGGCAGATCCTTGCTGCGCTCCGTTGGGTGAGAAATGTGAAGCCACCTTCAAGGCTTTGAGTGCCTTCAACTTCCTCGAATAACTGCAAAAACAAAGTAAGTTTGTTTGTACCAAATTGTCAAGCGGGTTGAAGGGAATTCTTAATAGTAGAAGAATAGACCATCCGAAGGAGGTTGCTGCACTGGCTTTTACAGTTGTGGAGCCAATATAGTATGGCAAAAGGGTTTAAAGCTTGCAGCCATGGGGAAAATTCTGGGTGCAATGAATTCACTCAGATTCTGATCAGGAATTGAAGAAAAAACATTGGTAAATTGAGCTGATGGGGAAGTTGTACCTTTTCCTCATGCCAATTATTGTCCCAGTCAGGAGGAGGAGGAGGATGAAGACTGCTGCTGCCAACCCTATAATAATACCAAACAACTCCATCCCTTTCTCAGGTTCTTTCACATCCCCGGGACCCTGGGAACATACAAATGTGTTATAATAGCTCACTCGGTACAGAGTCCATTCTAGCCTTCCCCATCCTAATGCTCCCCATATCAAATTGCAACTCACATTGTCTAAAGTCAGCAGAATCATATTGGTTGGGCACCATAGAAGCTATAGTCTAAACATTAAGAAAATCCTAATTTGGGGAAGACCGATCTGTAGTACATAGGCTAATGCTAAAGATTATGCTGGGAAATTGGGGTGGGGGAAATCACAGAAAAGGGTTTCTCCCATAGTGTTGTCAAGAAAATTGTGCCCATGGAGCCATTAGGTGCCAAGTTTGATTTGAGGAAGACTTTTTGTAGACAGAACCTTCCCATCCCAGCTACCCTGCAATCCTTTTGTATTACAATTCCATCATTGCCATCCAGTGTGGCTAATAAGAAGGGAATGCAAAAACTATAGCCTGAAGTTGCATATGTCCCATTGCTGGATGCCTATTTCTGCAGATGAAACTTTGGCTTCCCTTATATGGCTTCTCTCTTAGCTGCTTTGCTCACTTCTGGCACAAAATTATTGTCTTCCCTAGTCATACATCTTGCTACTTTCATTCCTACTTTTCTGTTTTGTTTTCAAATTCAACTCATCTCATTCAACTCAACGCATTAGAAGGATAAGGACTCTCACAATGACCAACAAGCCAAGATCGATAAGTTGTTCATACTGTTCCGGGTTTCTTCGAATCAGCCTGGAGAAAACATATTTTGAGGATGATTGTGAGGATGATTAGAAACACTACATTGCAGCTACAATAGAATTTAGTATGAGTTGTACTAAAAAAATGAACAAAAAGTCTATTCCCAACTTCTCACTTAATGCCTCTGCAGATCCTCCTGTGGGTTTTGTGTGTGTGTGTCATTATGCTGAACTATCCACCAGCAATTGCTCTCTCAATCTCAATCTTCCTCTGCATTATTTTTCCTCTGTTTTCCACCAGACTTTCCTATTAGCTCCATATACACTGATACATTCAGATATTTTGCCCAGGCTGAAATTACATGGGGATAGAGAGAGAAGAACTAGGTTTGAAGGTGTGGGGTGGTTATTAGCTTAAATTATTGGGGATGGGAGTGAGGGATAAGGTTTGCATCATTTAAAGGTCCTCACCTTTTCTTTTTATTTTGACCACTTCCTTTTCCAGTGTTGTCACACTAACAGCTGACTGGGCCAACCCAAATGGGATTTTTATTTGACCTCTGTTCCTTCCCTATTAGATTTAGAGCAATACGACACTTACATGAGCACCTGTTCACCAGTGAGAGCTGTGCCATTCTTGTAAACAAAATAGGCATCCATTGCAGTGTTCTCTAAAGCCCTACAGAAGGTAAAAAGATATGTAAGATATATGGATGGAAGCAGGACCTTCTCAGGACCATGACCAATCCAAAAGCTATCTGAAAGGTATGGCTACCTCTCCAATCACCTTTAAAAAAAAACCATCATAAGAAATCAGTGTTATAAAGGCAGCCTGATCATTTGTAAAAAAAAAAAAACTAACTACGCTGCCCACCCAGATGCTAACTTCATGCTGGAATCTCAAAAGTCTCGTTCCATTTTCATATGTTCTACCAACACCATACAAACACCATCACATTCCATGGAGTATGCCTGTGCTAGTTGCTGTAGCAAAAGATACCCCCAATATTTCAACAAGCGTCCCCTCTTCCCTCACCAACCATTTTATATACTTTTTAACCTCATTTACTTCCTCATTACTATAGGTTCCCTCTGTTCAAATCACCTTTCAGATCTGGAGGTTGATGGATCATCTGTATAGATTGCTGTTATGTAGATTGTTGTTCCAGTTGCTTTGCTCAGAATTCTGAAAGCAACATAAAAAAGGCACAGGTCTCATCAGCGTTACATGCTAAACAGCCCATACCATTGCACAGCAGGGAACCCAATTAATGTTCAAAAATTGTAAAATAATCATTACTTAGTGTCATTTCATTGTAAATTCCAATTGTCTCTGGTGTATGGTCTACCCTGCACCATTAAGTATGAGACACACATATCATTAGAGAGCCATAATTCAAAACCACATTTTAAATATGGAGACATGGGACTGGTGAATGTAAATTTGGTGGGGAAAGGGCCAGTCATCTTTAGCAGCATCTCAAGGGATTCATAAGGCATTAACTCTGACCAAGAAACTTCTAGAATCCTGAATACACAACGTGCTTGCTACTTTGTCCTAGTCAAAAATTTTAACAGCTTAGATCCTTGAAATTGATAACCCCAGCAGTAACTATTTGCCTTCATTGCTTACGTTTGGGTGCTCTTCTTCACACATTGCACTAAGGCATAATGTGCCTTGTCTCACCATGCTGTGTGAGCCCCCCATTGTGATTTCTCTAGCTTAGCACATTAGATGAAATTAAATAAATTGTACTGTCTTCAGTAAACCAGAGTTGAGCATCTGGTATAGCGTGATATGTGAATTTAGCATTTGTTTTAAGAATGGCTTTGCCAAAGCTAAATGACACCTCCTTCACTTATGGCAGGGATGTTAAACTTGTGTCATCACAGCAGCATCATGACTTTTGTTAGGAATATGAGTCACCTAACAGCTATTTGGGTTAGAAATATATAAACCAGGATAAACATTTTAAAACTGAAACTTTAAGAAAATGCCAAACTGTAATTAGGTGTGGTTTCTCAAACGGCCATCAGATGGAGCCAGAAACCTGGTTTGTCTTAGTCTGAGTCTCAGAAGAGAGTGTGAGTGTATCTCTGTTTCTTTCTGTTGGAAAGTATTGCCGTTCCTCCATTTCTTCTAATTGACTGATATTACTGGATTTAATGTAAGTCTGTTACTGAACTGTTTTTTGACACTGGACTTTGATATTTGGATTATCCCTGGATTGAAAACTGACTGATTTACTTGGAAATGACTTTGGATTGCTTATTTTGGACTTTGCTTAAGCCTTTCTGGAAGTAAAAACCTACATTTACTGTACAGTGTATCTGTGTACTGTGTGTGTATTATTCAAACACTTCTCTCAAATACGTCTCCCTGTATGCGCTCATTCTCCTAACGGGGAATTACCTCAACAACTTTCCCCCCGCTTTGCTAAATGGGGATGGGTGTGACCAGCAGGTGATTCATCGGCCCATGAGTTTGACAGCCCTGGCTTATGGAGTCAATGCCCACAAGAGTGTATGTACACATCTACATACCATACTGCTTTCTTTGTACTTTATTTTTGACACTGTATTTTGCCTTGTTCTGCATAACAAGATGGACAGAAGCACCATATTGAGACAGTGATAGGTGAGAGGGTGCCATACCTTTTGATTTCATTTGAATTATCCTGCACTTCCTTTAAAGCGATGCTGAACTTCAGATTTATACGGTAACTCTTATCCACGCTGAAGATCTGGAGAAAGAGAAAAATGATTGTTCTCAGAGATCAGACATTATGAAAATTCTATCAATGGAAGTTGTTCAGGAGAGACAACAAACTTACATCCAGTGATGTGAAATTGCTCAGGGCTTGAGTTCCATTGTCTTTGGCTTCCACTTTCACCTGATATCGGCCTTTCAACATGCTATTAAGGTTGCTTGCTATTCTGTAGGAACAGAAGGTGTTGCAGCATCAGAGATGCTTATTCTTGGTCAAATTCTGCACTACCCTGAAGTAGACTTGCCCAGTCCCACCTCCATCTTGAAATATTTCTGCATTAGTAGAAGCTTTCATGCTTCTATTTCAAGTTTCAGGAGAGTTCAGCGGAAAACCAAATGAAGCATTTGCTAAATTGGAATCTTTAGCATAGCATCAGAAAAAAGCTGGACATCACCAAAGACCACATCACAACAGATCCTGCTGATAACATTTCAATAATTTAGAAGTTTGTTTTTCAGAAAATGATACAGTAAAAATGAAATTGTGTTAAATGCTATCAACTATGTTATGAGAAGCCAGCAGGTGGTGATCTATGTTGTATGATGGGTGTCAAATTCGCGGCACATGGGCCAGATGCATCACGTGCTGGCCCCACCCCTGCCCGGTTTAGCGAAGAGGGAAAAATTTCCTGATACATCATGTGATGCTGCCGTGATGACGTGAGTTTAACACCCCTGTTGTATGAGCTACGTTATACTATTAATCCATAATCTGGCTTATTATTTGAGCAAAAGCATTCCATGTGAACACAGTGATTGCAATTTTCTAATCTGGGTTTAGTGTGTTCTGCTAACTATACCCAGATGGTCATTCAGCATGCATGACAGCCTCTCCTAATCATCTCCCTTCAGGAGCTGTAATCCTACATCCGGAGAGCACCAATTTAAAGTTGTTCCACGAAACCCAGGATCAGTGAAAACATTGAACCTTAAGTAGCTAAGTGATTACCTAAAGTTCTGCTCCTATTTAGCTGCTTTGACAGCGAATCTCTCCTTCTCCCTAACCAGTAGAAGTCTCCCAATGAGCCCCAGGTATACATTCAAAGTATGTGTGTGGAAATAAAGCATTGCAGCAATCTATTGGTGCAAAAGCCAGCTCTTCCCCATAGCTTCTTGTCCTGCAAATTCCCATGGGTCTATTAAACATATCTACCCAAATATCCTCAATCGCCTATTGATCAATACAAGGAAGTCAAGAGTGGGGTTCTTAGTACACATGCCCTGAATTTACTCAATGTGACCACAACCATTTGGCAGCATTTTTAAAGCTTTCAAGCGAAGAAAACTCCATCACTTACAGGATGTTTCCCACAGAGACATCCTTCTCCATTGTTTTTGCCACTTTGAAAACATCAGAAAACTTCTGTTCATGCCCATTGTCCTGGATAAGAACTACCTCGGAGATGCTAAATGTGATCACACCATTTTCATCTGAATCGGCATCCTTGGCCTGGAAGAGGGGGGGAAAAAACCATTGATGATGGACTTTGAAATATGATCCGATCCTGTCACACAGGTTGGGAGCATCCAGTTTAGTTTCTTTAAAAAAAACCACCAAAATAACTAGGAAATCTGTGCAGCTAAATAAATAGGTATTCATCATCTTACCTTGACCACAGCCACAGACAGGTCTATGGGAGAGATTTCTGGGATTATTACTGCAATGAAATACCAGATACAGATCAGTAAATCCGAACAGCAAAAGGCAATAGGTCTTGCTCTCCTGTGAGGCCAAATCACATGATAATGGACCTGCTGTTGTCTACTCCCAAGCTCTATCAATACCCATTGACTGGCTGTCAGTGTGGCATTCCTCTGCCCTAGCTAGACAGCTGAATGTTCCCCTCATGATTGGCTAACATAAAGAGGATTGCATATATGGAAGAAAGTGATTGAAAGAAGCTTAATGAGAACTGCAATCAGCTAGGATAGAGAGGGATGCCCCTGCCTAGCAGAAATGTCTCCTTTGAATGGGCTGAAGGGAATCCTTAAAGCACACTACCACCTATTTATTGGGGGGGGGGGGAAGGCAGTGAGGCATACCATGGTTGCAACTGTCCTACGACACTGCTCTTACCAAAAGTGTCATCGACAGGATAAAACTGGGGTGCGTTGTCATTTGCATCACCAATTAAGATGACCAGGGTCTCTGCAAAAAAAAAAAAAAAACCACCAACAAATAGACAGATTCCAGCCATTGATATGAAAACAGTGTTGTATATCTTCCTAGAAGCTGCACATTGGAGCCATAACCTTGTTCAAGTAGAACTAGTCACATTTCCCACCAATAGCACGTGTTGCTCCCTCGTTTATACAACAGTGTGGATGCGGGTATTCCTCCAGCTGTGAAGTTGTTAGGAGCAGATAATCTGTGGCGATGCTTTTTTGCAGCCACCTTTCTAAGACACAGATATGACAGTGGCAATACCCTACCCAACTGAATGAAAAATTGCTGGTGACCTTCTAACGCCGCACTATAGAGAGTATTTTAACTTACTGCACCTCTGTATGGTTTGCAAATTGCACAGTGGCAGATAGGAAAGCACTCCAGAGGGTTAATGTTATTAGAAGAAGATCATTGGTTGCCCTCTCCCCTCTTTGGAAGAGCTTCATAGCTCCCGCTGCCTTAAGAAAGTTCAAAACATTCTCAAAGATCCATCTCATCCTGGGCACCCTTTTTTGAACTATTACCATCTGGCAGAGGGTACAGAATAATAAAAACAAGGACAAATAGGCCAAAAAACAGCTTCTATCCCAGAGCCGTAACTATATTGAATTCTACTGTATAGTGGAATACTACTGCAATATCAGGGGTTTTCAATTTAATTGTATAGAATGTAAAGGATGTGTGTTTCTGTTTTATTTTTATAGTTTTTTTTATGTATAATGTATACTGAAGATGGCATTTAATTTCATTGTACGAGGTGCAATGACAATAAAGTAAAGCAAAGTAAACAATGGCCGAATCTTCCCTCCATTCAATAATACCAAGGCCACCCACAGCAGCCTTCTCCAACATTATCCATACGTAACATGGTTAGTACATCTGGAGGCCAGCAGGCAAGAGTTACGGAAGGTATTGATGAAGACAGTTCAAGTGAATGTGGTTATTAAGAACAATTAAATTACTCCCATTGAATTAATAAAAAATCTAGTAGAAAGGAAAAGTGGGACAGATAGAGGAAGGGTGTACACCTCACAGAATTAAAAAAAAGTATTAAAGCAAGTGTTCTTACAGGTACCTTACCATTTCTACTGTAGGGATTTCCTACTGCAGTGAACTCATCCTTAACACGCAATGTGATTTCCACTTGGGTGCACAGTTCATAGTCTATATCTGAACTATTCACAAAAAGTGATCCATTGGCTACTAGGCGGAACCAGTGCTGACATATAGTGCCAACACTGCCTGTACTGTTGAAACATGCAACAGCTATCTCCTGGAAAACTAATGAGTGGTTGGTGTCCTTATCAGTAGCCTCCAGCTCAGCTACTAACGTATGTAGGTTTTCATTCTCTGTAACGTGAATCTTTTCTGGTGGAGATGGTACAATGGTTGGGGACTCATCATTGACATCTAGCACATACACCCTCACCATGGCAATGGCAGCTTTCATTGTTTCCCCTAAGTCTGAATTTTCAGCCCGTAGAATGAGATTGAAGAATTTCTCTTGCATTTGGTCATAGTCAAGAGCAACGTCTGGGTCTAGATACAATGTGCCCTGATACCAGCCAGATCCCTTGGCGCTGGAACGAATCAGAAAGTTGCTTGAGCCTGTACTGCTATTAATGTAGAATGAAATACGGTTGTGAATTTGTGTTTGATCGGCATCTCTGGCTTCCACAACTCCCACCAAGGCACCTGAGATAGAATTGGAATATGAAAATTAAAATAATTGCAGAGTTAAACATTTACCATCCTTCTACACCCAGATAAAAATAGTAGAGGTCTACAGATCCCTTGTAAATGGCAATGGTCCAATCAAGCAAATGCTATCCTCTACCTCCAGTTTCATGCATTACTTAGCATTCCTACTATTGGTTCTCAAGAATCCTTTCATGCACTATTTGGTGATTTAAACTGACTCTTATTAGATTGGCTTTGAAAATGGCAGTTGTAATCTAATAACACATAAATCGCTTGGTTTGCACAGGTTGCCAAACTCCTGCGTTTTTTGCTTAACCCTTGACTTGGTTTACAAAGCACACCTAGCCTCTTTGGCTACAATTGAGAAAAGTGACAACAATCTTGTTTGCTGTTTTTCTGTCAACACATGAATATTGCAATGTAGCAAATCAAAGCTGAAAAGTAAAGAAAAAGCTAAAGATTACTCAAACCCAGTCATATATGTGATGGGATGCATGTCATCTGCCTATTTTGCATCCCTATGTCAAATGCATTATTAGTGACAATTGTTAATCATCTTATCCCTTAAGATCTGTGCAGAATACCATATATTAAAACTTTGGGTAAACTTTGGAAGAATATCATCTGCCTCTATCTAGAACATCCTCTTCAAGAAAGGCTAAGATTAGTTTTAAAAAGCCTGGGAGGTTTTCCTCTCCCCAAACGATCAAAATAATGCAATCAGTGAATGCTGATCTTTAGAGCTATATATTGCTTGCTCCTATAATAGGTATCTAGGATCCAGAGCAAGAAACACCTGTGCCATCATGTCCAGCTTCTGGTCTTGTTATAGGGGGGATTTTGGGAAAAGAACACTCAACTAGACTGCTGTCATCTGATCCAGAAGAGCTTTGTAGGTGGTTTGTTTAGCTCCTGACTTGGGATTTTTTTTTGAGAGCCCAGTAGCTACGTTTTTTGCTTCAGGTTACCCTTCAAGATAGTTTCTAGTTTCATTTTCAGTCCAGATCAAAGAGATTCAATGAATCATACCTTGCATGCCTTCAGAAACAGAGAATTCATACTTTGAACTGCTGAAGCTGGGTGCGTTGTCATTTTTATCCTAAGGAGAGAAGTACTTAAGTTATGTTGTTACGCCATATAAAATTGAAACCCGATTACCAAAATTACTTGTCTGCAAAATAAAAGCAAATTTCATTTCTGGAGTATTTTACACACGCCCCCTTCTCCACCAAGCACCTTACCTAGAATAGAATTTAGGTAAGAATTTCACATTGCCCCCACCTCTTTCTCCAACTGCTTTAGCTCAAACTCCTGGCAAAGAGCAATGGGATTACCTCCACAGTGATGGTGACATTAACAGTGGTGTTCAACCGAGGGATCCCCAAGTCTTCTATAAGTATTGTCACCACTATCTTCCCGTTGAGTTCTACAGGAATAGCTTCTCGGTCCAAGGGCCCTTTGCTGACTAGCTCTCCAGTATCTGGGTGAATAGTGAAGTTGTTGCTGAATTCGCCAGGCATAATTTCAAAATGCAAACGGCTATTATTGGTTTCTGGGTTATCCTGATCAGTGGCCTAGGAAAAGAATTGGGGGAAAAATTAATCTTACTTCTTACTCTTCCTTGTTCCAGTCAATATTAATAGTAAGATGAAACTTCTTCAACTGGATAATATAAATTGATGAAGATTCTCAGTCATCCAAGTAGAGTTGTCTGGAAGTTAAGTCGTGGCAACTGAACTTCTTTTCTTTGAGTTTGATAAATTTTGCTGCTTATCCAAGTAGCTTATTCAGTCTGGATCACCTTTACATGCATTTGGACATTCAGAACAGCCAATGAAGAAGCAAAAATAGGCACCCAACGTGCCAAGAAAGTACCAGATTAGGAAAAAATTGACTTATACTAAGATGAAGATGAATATCCCATATTTACCTTGTATGGCAAGTCCCCACATTTTTCTATGGCAGGTCTATTTAGATTTGAAGATATTATTGGTCTTAGGCTTCTCAGTCTAAACCGTAACCCTGTGGTCATGCTGAGAGAGACCATCTAACTAATAATCAGGTCTGATTCTGCTTAATATTTTGTTAGATCAACCAAGATCACTTATACCTGCTATGACAATTTCAGGAACCAAGATGGAGATAGCTAGTACTTAAACTACTTTTACCAGAATTCATGACATATTACTTCATAGACCGCATAGAGTATTAGACTGTTGATCCAGGACTGGAAGAGGCCAAAACCTAATGCATATAACATACTAAGCCATGTTGTGAGTTTGTTTTTTGGCTTGTTATATTGTGAGAACCAAGCCAATTTATGATTTATAAAGTAAGCCGTGGTTTAATTAGCCATGTCTTAATAGGATGTGTTACTTCCCCAACCCAGGATGTACTTTAACAACCACATTATTCCTCACTTGAACTCATATCTGCCACAGGAGCAGAATCCAAACCCGGAGCCACAACACATAAAGATAAACCATTTTTACATACCATTCAAAAGAGACAATAAACAAACAAAGGAGGAAACAAAAAAGAGCAAAACACATCCTTTCCAACCAACACGCAAGGACCAACACAAGACAAACAAACAAATCCACCAAACTGGCAATGCAAGATACTGTATATAAACCAGGAGCAAAATCCACCAAGGATTCTACAAGTCAATCTGTATCTTAAATAAATGGAAATCCCACACCTGTTTTAAACCTATGAATATAGTGGTTTGAGTGCTATGGGTTCTCATTTGCATGGAAAGAACTCCTATTTCTTTTAAACCCAAAGGTTAAATGACCTATAATTGTGGCATTCTGAAGTTCTTGAAAACGCCATCTTTAAAAAACACAAACGCTCAGAATATCACATTCCAATGCTCCATAATTTTGGAGTAGGACTGGAAAGCAACAGGACAGTCACAATTTGGTGAAATAATCTCAGCTTCAGGTAAACTTCCAAGTTTATAATCTATAATTAAATTATTACTTCTTCTAAGAAGCAAACTATTGCATTATGTTTTGCTTGAAAATGCCTATTAATCCAATTTGGGAAATGTTCTAGTAGACAAAGGAAGCTGGCATTTTGGCTTTACCTGGATCTGGATAGGCTCCATGCTGTCGCCCTCAATGACCATGAAGTTGTAGGTACCTATCACAACCGGAGGATTGTTGTTGATGTCAATCACTGTGATCTCCAATTGGGTAGAACCGATCAGCCCACCACCATCCATTGCTTGCAAAGTGGCATAATAGATAGGGCGCTTCCCCCAATTTATTTTACTGCCATTGGCCACAAATATTGTACCGTTCATTGAATTCACAGTGAAATCTGTCTGGCTGCAAAACAGATAAACAAGCATGACTTTAATTGCGTGATCACACTCACTTAGCAAGAAAACGGTGACGCATGCTCTTTCTATTCCTCTGCTAATTATTGCACTGTATATACTTACATGCTCTTAGGCAGTAACTGGTAGGTGATCTCTCCAAACTTTCCACTATCTGGATCAATGGCCTGCAAAAAAAAGAAAGAAGAAGAAACAGTTAGTTTATCATGGGTTCTTCAGGATTTGAAGTCTGCAACTCAGGAAGGAGAGAATTGGGATATAAATAGGTTTTATTTCTACTAATAAATACTGTAATTGCTTTGAATGGATTTATAGCAGATCTTAAGGCCAAATCAGTTGTTGCTAGATTTATAGAAGAAAAACAGAAATATATCTACAGTATGTGCAGGATAGAGAGCCATTTTGATGTAGGGATTGGCATCGGTCTAGAAACCAGGAGACTGTGAGTTCTAGTCTTGTTTTAGGTCACAAACCATCTTAGTGACCTTGGGCTAGTCACTTTCTCTCCATCCTTGGAAGGAGGCAACAGCAAACCACTTCTTAAAAACCTTGCCAAGAAAACTGCAGGGACTTTTCCAGAGAATTGGACATGACTAAATGGAAGGTTAAAGAAATATGCAGGTTGTGGAGAAACAAGGAGCATAATCAGTGGTGGGACTCAAATAATTTAACAACTGGTTCTCTGCCCTAATGATTTCTTCCAACAACCAGTTCACCAACAACCGGTTCTCCTGAAGCGGTGCGAACTGGTTGAATCCCACCACTGAGCATAATATCCTATGGGTGCAAAACAGCCATAAAGTCCTAGAGGTAATAGGCCCTTCTATCTCCATTGTCTTTAACACCAGGAGTCCCAAAAGACATAGAGGTTTCTTACTGTAATATTAGAAGCTACAATGGAACCAGGCGGGCTGTCTTCCAATACAAAGAGCTTGTAATCAGTCTGTCTGAATTCAGGCCTGTGATCATTGATGTCAATAAGATGGATGGTCACCGTGGCAAAAGAGCAGCAATCAACTGTCCTTCCACTAGTATCATTTGCTACAATCTGTTAGCATACAAAAGCATCAAATTAATAAACTCATCTCATGTATAAGAGTCACTGTATCAGTCAGATGGGTGGCATAGAAATTGAATGAATCAATGAATCAGTGAATCAATGAATAAAGGCTGATAATCAGAAGAGAATTTCCTTCATGATGAATCTTACTGTCTCAGGTAGAAACAGGCACTCATGCACATTGTTTAGCCCGTTAGCCCCTTTGAGGTAAGCAAGATCAAGAAACAGAAGAGATGCTGTGTCACTGGATAGAATTGTAACCAAAAAGAATAGAAGAATCCAAGGAAGCCAATCACTTTCTCTCCACTCAATCTTATACCAAACAGAATCAAACCTGGTCCATCCCAGCCCTGAAAGGACCTAATGGTAACGACTGCAATGATGACACCATTAAAGCCAACCTCGTTAACAGATTCTTTGGCTCAGTATTTGTAAACAGCAATGGATCATGCCCAGTATTTCCTAGTCGAACCACAGATAACTACAATGATCTAATACATATCGATTTTACAGAAGATAATGTTGAAAAAGCACTATGCAATCTAAAACCATCTCTATCTATTGGACTGGACAGAATATGTGCCTACTTCTTAAAAAAACTATCCACTGCCATAGCCGAACCTCTAAGCATAATCTTTGAAAAATCCTTCAGGACCAGCTCCTTGCCTAACCTATGGTCACAAGCCACGGTTATCCCCATCTTCAAAAAGGGAGACCCCAGCCTAGTTGAAAATTACAGAGCAATCTCTTTATGCTGCGTCACCTGTAAAGTCATGGAATCAATTATTAACCAATCCATTATCCTCCACTTAGAGACAAACAACCTACTCTCTAATAAACAATTTGGTTTCAGGAAAAAACTATCCTGTAATCTGCAACGCTTACACTGCAAAAACATATGGACTACACAACTCGATCAGGGCAAAGCAATAGACACAATCTACATAAACTTCTGTAAAGCCTTTGATTCAGTGATACACGACAAACTACTACTAAAACTAAAATCTTATGGTATCTCTGGACACCTGCATAACTGGATAGAAGCATTCCTGTCAAACAGACAACAAATGGTCAAAATTGGGAGCGTCCTATCAAATTCTGTACCTGTCAATAGTGGTGTCCCCCAAGGCAGTGTTCTAGGACCAACTCTTTTCATACTCTACATAAATGACCTCTGTGATCATATTAAGAGCAACTGCGTTTTCTTCGCTGATTATGTAAAGCTATTCAACACCACAGACAATACTGCTATCCTTCAAAAAGACCTCAACTATGTATCAGAATGGTCAAACAAATGGCAACTTCAAATCTCAACAAATAAATGCTCTGTCTTACATATTGGCCAAAAAAAATCAGAAAATAAAATACGGCCTGAATAGTCAAGATCTTGTTGATGATCCAAACTCTGTCAAGGATCTTGGAGTACTCATCTCTAATGATCTAAGTGCTAGAGCCCACTGTAACTACATAGCCAAAAAGGCGTTAAGAGTTGTTAACCTAATCTTATGTAGCTTTTTCTCTGGTAATATTACACTAATAACTAGAGCATACAAAACATTTGCTAGACCAATACTTGAATACAGCTCATCAGTCTGGAACCCACATTATGTACCTGATATTAATACAGTTGAGAAAGTCCAGAAATATTTCACAAGAAGAGCTCTCCACTCCTCTACTCGTTGCACAATACCTTATGCCACCAGACTTGAAATTCTAGACCTAGAAAACCTAGAACTACGCTGCCTTC